CTGTCGTGATGTATGGAAGTGAGAGCTGGACCATAAAGAAGGCTGATTTCTGAAGAACTGATGCTTTTGAATTGTAGTGCTGGAGGAGACTCTTGAGAGTCCCCTGGACTGCAAGGAGAACAAACCTATTCATTCTGAAGGAAATCAACCCTGAGTGCTCACTGGAAGGACAGATCCTGAAGCTGAGGCTCCAATACTTTGGCCATCTCATGAGAAGAGAAGACTCCCTGGAAAAGCCCCTGATTTTGGGAAAGTGTGAAGGCAAGAGGAGAAGGGGACAACAGAGGACGAGATGAGATGGTTGGACAGTGTCATCGAAGCAACCAACATGAATTTGACCCAACTCCGGGCAGCAGTGGAAGACAGAAGGGCCTGGCGTGCTCTGGTCCATGGGGTCATGAAGAGTCGGACATGACGTAATGATTAAACAACAACAACATCCTTCATTTCTGTAATTGAAACCATTTTTGTTGCTGTAATTCCATAATCAACCAACTTGGCCAGTGGCTGGCGGTGATTGTAATTGTACTGCAACATATATCTGGAGAGCACTAGGCACAGAAAAGCTGCAGATCTAGTCAATTTGGGTTTTTATGACAGCAAAAGAGTCATCCCAGTATACATTATATCAGTTTACACCTTCATCAACTAATATCTAGGTGTCAAGTATCAAGTTGAAGGAAGCAGCATTAGATTTTTTTAAAAATGGTGGTAGCAGCTGTTCCCATTTTGTATGTACAGTACTTTATCAATATGCGTAGAACCAAGACACCTGTGCTCTACATGTATTTTATTTGTTTATACAGTACATAGTACTTAAAAACTTGGCATGGATTTAAGTCAAAATTTCAGCTTTTCCTCTGCCCTGCTCTAGTTGGGGCCCTTCTTCTTTTTTAAAGGAAATGATTTGCCTTTCTAAGCAGCCCATTCCTAACTGAATGATGATGGAGGATGGTGATAAGCTAAGAAAGTGGAAGAAAGAACTCAGCTGTCCTCACTGCTGTTGTTCTATCAGTATGTGGGAAGAGGAACAGTCTTTGCATATGCATGGTATAACCCAGGAGTGGTGACAGCTGCGAATTGGTATATAGCTTTCACAGTTTAGGCGTAAAAATATTTGAGTCAAAATAGAAAACACACACACAAAAAAACCCTGTAAGTTTTGAAATGTACATGCGCCTGTTTTTTAATGGCTGGATTTCCCCCCTCGGTAAACAAAGCTCATCCCAGAGCTGTAACTACCAGCTTTGGCACCTGCAGTAAGCCGCCAAATCAACTTTGTAATTGACAACATGAACATAACATTGAGATTATTGCAGCACTAAACACCTTGCTGGTATGTCCCCTCCTCCACAGGGGATCAACAGCATTGTCAGACCTACCAAAAAAAAATTAAATCGAAAGTGTGTGTTGTATGTATGCTTTTATATTTATACAAGCGACTAGCAGAAGTATTTTGGCAAAATGTTTTGGCTTCTGCCTTCCTCAGTTACTCTGACAAAAGTATTATAATATGTTTGTTAGTTACTCTTGTTCTAGTGATTAATCCCATCCTTCAGGGATCCAGAAAAATCTTGATTGAAGTGTTGTTCAGTTCTTATTATTTTTCACTGTGCGTATGTGTATGTGTACACATATATGGATAGAATATATACATATATATTGTTTAGCATGCCACATATATTAATTAATCAATATTGTCCCACAAGGAGTCTACCAAAATGCAAGCTGACCTGTCCTCTTACATGAGAGGTCAGGTCTACTCGCTATTTGGTTATTTCAGCCCTCCATTTGGTTATCACCTGCTGTTCTAGCACCTCCTGGATAGATCTACTCTCTGCTGCCTTAGCATGCCTTGGTATATTTAACCACCTTCTGCTCTCCTTCTGTGGCCATCTTTTCTGTGGCACTTAAACTAGGCTGCCAAGGGAAATTAAAACAAGGACTGGTGTTTCTAAATTTGATGCTTGGACAAAAGACCTAGTTGTCTCACTTTAGTTACAACTCTCAATATTTGAATACTGTTATCAGTTAAGTACATATGCCAGGTGGAACACACTGCACATCCTATCTACACAGTTGGGGCTTCCCCTAAAATCATAGTTGTAAAATCTAATGTGTTAATTAGCTCCAAACTTTCTGAGTTTATCCTACCCACTTTCTCTGCTAGCTTTGGGCACTCTGGGCCAAATCCAATTGTCAGCCATAAGTAGAAGAGTTAATGTGCCTTTATAAGTCAACACTTCTGTAAGTTTCATTAATTCACTGAATCTATTGTAGCTGGGCATAACTATTGGATTTCCACATTCTGACACCATCTAATGCAGGGTAAGGTTTTCTTCTTGTTGCTGTTCCTGAGAAGACTAGCAAGAGAGAAACCCTCTTATGCAAATTTGGGAGGGCAAAGAGAACAGGGAAATGGGTCTAATGCCCACTTCAGATGTCAGTGGATTCAGCTGTAAGGACGAAATATTTGTGAAAATGAATGACTTATCAAAAAAAGTATTCTTGCTATTAAAAACTGCATTTGAAGAGGTAACATTTGTTTTTACAGTGAGAATTTCAGTAAGGGGAATTGATCCTTTTGGGGAGAAAGATTAAATAGAAATATTTTAAACAAGCAAACAAACAAAAACCTAAATTTAGACATACTGTAGCTGTTCACAGCAGCATTTATAAACATATACACAATAGTCTCTAAAGATTTTGTTGTGTCAGATATGTTATTCTGAGAGGAAAAACTAGGAACAACAATGCTGACAGTGAAGGTGAAATATGTGAAGTTAGATACTAGTCACCTGGATTCAGCTTCTGAAGAGGAGCTACGGAAGTTAAACTCATCGCTTCCATATCAATTCCCTTGGCTTAGACAGAGGGAAGAAAGGGCTTTATTTATTGTTTATATGCACCCGCATTCAAAGAAGCGGTGTTGTTGTTGTCCTCCTCCATGCCCTCCCCAACTCTGTGATGCAATTTCAGATTGGCCCAAGATCACTCCATAGCACTTTCAGCTGCCAGGATCTTATTGCTCCAAATCGATTGCTCTCTCCATTGAATCTCAGGCGTTCTCCTCTTATTGGTGCACACATTTCTTAAATTATATGAGTTACGTTCAACTAAAGTACTTCAGATATTTTCTAATTTCATGCATAATTATGATGCAGCGCATAACAACACAGTCCTAAATGTGTGGTCTGCTTGCCTATCGACTTCAGGGAGTTCTTCAGAAATTCAGCTCTACCCACCACAGTTTTAATGTTTGCATTATATCACTGCTAAGGAGATCCATTTAAGATCTTGAACTTCAGAGATAAAAGTTGGGTCACAAGCCAAACTTGTGAAATGAATTATGTTTTCTAATTATTGCTATTATTTATATTGCACCTAACAATATACTCCGTTTTTTATATGATATGACAGGCAACTCTGATTTTGGTTTATAGTTGCAGTGTTGATGGAAGACTGACATTCACATGTGATTGATTGATTGACGACTACTGTGTCTGCTCTGTCCCATAAATCAACAGATGGCTTGATAGAAGTAAAATGACTTTGTGATATACAACCAGGCTTTTATTTTTGACTTTGGCATCAGTGAATACATGCCAAATTTTGCTTAATAGCTTTCAAATTTAGTATATTTTGAAGGTCTTTTTAAAAGACTTCAACATTGTTGTTTCCCAAAAGATGCTTACAAGAGGTTTTTGCCAAGAAAGCCATAAGTTGAACAGGATGGAATGAAAGTAGCTCTACTGTTATCAAGAAGTATTTGACCTTGAGTCAAATAACTGAGGTGGCATGAGTAGAAGATTCTATATGATAAAATAAGTGTATACAAATGTCATAGAAAGAAACTTCTTAAAATAGTTTTTAACTTTTTAAACTAATGATGGTTTTCACATTCTTTTGGTTTAATTTACTGTGGGGTTTCTGTGTGTGTGTTATTTTATTGGAAGAAAGATGGAGTGTGAATAAAGTAAATAAAAATAAATGTTGTCCAAAAACATATATGGTGTGTCTGTGGCAAAATTTATTCTCAAAAATAGTGTTTTGTTGTATTGACATTTTTTCAGGAAGTCGAACTTTGTCGTATTAACAACCAGGAAAAGCTGGGGCTGACGGTCTGTTACCGTACAGATGATGAGGAAGACACAGGAATCTACATCAGTGAGGTAAAGATTGTGAAAGTGGGTGGCCCTAATGGGGAGAAAGTTAGAAATCATCATTCTGTACCTGAATACAGAAATCATAGCTGTTTTCTGATCTTTGTCCATTTCAGTTGGTTAGCAGGTTAAATTAATATTGCCCAAACTATGTAATTGTTATTGCAAGCAAGTGTGTTTAATGGAAATGCTTCAGATGCATCATCTTTGACAGAAAACATGCCTGAAAGCCGTTAGTTCTCCTTGACACTGTTGTTAAATTCCCTGAGAAAGTGAAACTTCAGGATTTCTCAGGTATATTTCCTCAGTATTGTGATAGGTCCAGTAGAAAATGACATCTAATATCCTATTGTCTAAAGCACTGGTTCTTAACCTTGGGTTACTCAGGAGTTTTGGACTGCAGCTCCCAGAAGCCTTCACCACCAACTGTGCTGGCTGGGGTTTCTGGGAGTTGCAGTTCAAAAACATCCGAGTGACAAAGGTTAAGAACCACTGGTCTAAAGAGAGATGGAGAAGGCAAATCATACAAGCACTCCAGCAGGTTACCCATTGCATGCCCATTGTGATAGGGAGTCTGTCTGAGTGACTGGACACTTACATGATTTCCCATCTACTCTGTATTTTGAGAGTAAGATACTGCACAATGATTTATTTTCTTTTATTTCATTGTTTGATCTCAAAAAAAGGAGAAAGCAAGACATTTGTGTTGGAAAATATGATAACATAAAGCAGGCACAGGTAAAGTGTCGCCCTCCACATGTTGTTGCACTACAGTTCCCAAGATTCCGTACCATTGGATATGCCGGGTTGCACTGATGGGAGTTGCAGTTTAACAATATCTTGCCCACCATATGAGGTTCTTATTATTTGAAACAGAAAGCAACTGGCATAACTATAGCAGCAAACTTCTACAAAATTTATGAGACCCCACCTGAATTCCTGGTCACTCCTTCGCCCAAAGTGGCATTTCTGTCATTCATTGAGGAATCCAAATGGGAAATGGTTGCAATTTCTGTAATTATGAATAAATGTTAGTTCTGAAAAAAATGAAACCCTAATGTTTACCTTGTTTTGTGCCCTCTTTTTATGAAAGTAATTTTTAATAAGGACAATATCCCATTGACTTGCTCAAATTAAAACATATCATAGTATGTTTAAGTGATTTACTTTAAAGCTCTGGTCCATTGTCTGTAGAAGCTTTCCTGTCAAAATGTTCAGAATATTTCCATAGACATTTCATCACACATCAGTAGCTGATGTCCATTAGGAAAAGAGACACCTGGAATATTTTTCTCGATGAGAATATTGAGATTAAATAAGAAATCAACTAAGTTTATCCATGTCTTTGTTTTTAAAAGTGACCCCTTTAAGGCTTTGCTCCATTTTGAATCACCCAGCTTTTTCCTTAATTTAAGAGAGCCCAAATGTGTTCTTTCGCACATGGTCAAACACTTCCAAATAATTTTCTCTCCAGTAATACACAAGGTCTACAAGGTGCAATTTGCAAGCCAAATGGTATGCTGAGAAATGTTATTATTCAACTGTTATTCAACAATTGGTAATTATTCAGATTTTGTAGCTCATATAAATCTTTAATGGAGGTTTAAATAACTATTTGGGATAAAATTAACATTAACCAACTCAGAATAACATTTGGTGACCAGCATCCTCTCCGGTATTTGTGCGCACAAAACTCCCAACTGCTGAAGCTCCCTTGGTGATCTGATGAATCTGCCATCTGTGTGCCTGGTAAGGTATGCCATGTACCTTTCCAATTGCTACAGAAGCTTCTGCTGCTGGAGCTTCAAAGACACATAAATATTGAACAGCCAGTTAATATCTGTGCAGACATTATTGTTTTTTTACCTTTAAGTTCTTATTTTCCTTAGTGATTAACCCAGATATGTATCTCGATAGTGAAGTAGCTGTTAAAAAACAGAGCACTTGTAAACAGAGGAAAGGAAAGAAATTTTAAACAGAGACACATTTGTTAGATATCCCACTTGCTTATGATCAAAGTTACAGTCCATCTTATTTTTACAGATCCAGAGGTCCATAAATCTCAGCTTGGCTTGCTATGTAATTATGATTTCTAATTGCCACCAACCCTCTTCCCTTCCTGGCACAAAATATTTGAGAGACATACAGGTGCATCTTTGACTTATGTTCAGTAAAGATGAAATAAGGAAAGACTTCAATTCCTCCTCTTCTTGAATACTAGAGTAGAAATAAGACATATGGGGTAGCAATCTATGTGATGCTTGGTGTTTTATTTGTTAGAAGACTGGGCATCCTTTTCCCAGAGAGATAATAGAAGGATTTATGGATATCTGCTCAAATCCATAAATCTTGTGATTTGTATCTCTGTTGAAGAAACCTTCACAGCATCCCACTCTCCTTGATAACTATTGGCTAGTTCTCATCTTCATTTTAAAAATGAGATGTTTGATCAAGTTGGGGCAGTCCAACTCTAGACTTCTTGAGTAAAGCTGATGATTTCTTTCTGTTCAGTCTAGGTTCCGACCTACTTTTGGGACAAAAGCAGTCTTTGTTTCCTTGTTGAATGGCCTATTATGTGAACTACAAAGAGGGAAGGTATCCCTTTTGTTCTGCTGGACCTTTCAGCAGCATTCAGTATCTTTGATCATTGTATCGTTCTGATCATTAAGCAAATATGGGATTCAGGAGCTCTGTTTCTACTTGTGTGAATGCTCCCAGGAGGCAACCGTATGAACTGTTGTTAGGCTTCATGGCCATGAGCTTACAGTGTTACCCAGGATTCAGTGTTGTCCTCTACACTTTTAAACATTTACATGGCACTACATGGGAAGGTCTTTCAGGGTTTTCAGCTTTTGTCCTATCACTAAAATGATTTTACCCAGGTTTATCTCTGTTCAACTGATGTTCTGGAGGCTGAGGAATTCTTGAATTGCTGTCTAGACACACTGAGTGGTTGGCTGTGCCTTAACAAATTGAGGCTCAAGACAGAAGTTCCCTTCCTCAGTAAAAACAACAACAACATGGAATTGGGAGAATTGTTGGGAACTGGGACGATCTGCTTTGAATTTGTTTCTGCTACGTCCGAGTGGAGAGGCGCACAGCTTAGTAATGCTCTCAGAGCCAGCATTGCTCCTGGAATGCCATGTGAATGCTTTGGCTAGGGAAGCCATTGGCTGGGTGTTAATTGAACCTCTTCCTGAGGCAGATCCATACACGAATTATCTCCTGCTATTATATGAGCTCTGTGTGACTGTCTATGAAGAGAAGCTGTGGATAGTGCAAAATATAGCAGCAAGACAATTGCCTGGTTTGCATTGCATATACTGGCCAAACACATTGGCTTCCAGTTTGTTTCCCAAGCTCAATCGGAAGAGCTGGTTTTGATCTACAAAACCCTAGTGGTGGGGATACAGGAGAGGACCTTCTCTGTTGCTGCTCTCCAGACTTTGGAAATCCCTCCCACAGGAGGCCAGGCTGGTCCCATCTTTGCCGTCCTTCCACAAGCAGGCAAAGACCTTTCTCTTCAGGCAAGCTTTCCCTTGATGAGTGGCTGCCTGAGTGGGGTTTTTAATTGGATTGTTTTGCTTTACTGCTTTAAATGCATTTTTGGTGTTGCTTTTCTTTACTGACTTTAAGTGCGGTGCCTGTTTGATCCCTTTTATTATTTGTATACATATTGTTTTAGCTTTCAATATTGTCTTAACGATGTAAGCCACCTTGGGTCCTTCTTAAAGAGAAAGGCAGGGTAAAACTATTTTAAATAAATAAGATATATAAAATAAAAGGGTTGGGAGTCACAACACCTGAAAAACTGCTTTCTTCTTCACATAACTGCCCATATATGAGATCCTCATGGAGGATCTATTGAGCATCTCACCACCTTGAGAAGCTAAGTAGATGAGTACATGAGATGTAGCTTTCTTTGTAGCATCACCTTGACTCCTTCCCAAGGCTGACTTTTTCCCTTCTTGATCTTTCAGTAGGTGGATGAAACACCTTACTGTACTACCTATGAGAAGTCCTGATGGGCTAAAAAGCAATTAATGAATACTTTATATGTTTTCTACATGAAACCGCTGGGAGAGGTTGTCCAGAGTTTTGGGGTTTGGTGTCACCAATATATGGATGACACTCAGCTCTTTCTCTCCATTCCACCTAATTCCAAGGAAGCTGTCTTGACTCTGAACCAGTGCTTGACATCAGTAATGGGCTGGATGAGGGCAAACAAATTGAAACTTAATCCAGACCAGACAGAGGTTACTTGGAAGGCAGATGAGGGAATAGGGATACTACCTTTGCTGGATGGGATTGCACTCCCCATTAAAAATTCATGTCCACATCTTGGGTGTACCCCTGGATTCATCCCTACACTGTCTTGACTCTGAACCAGTGCTTGACATCAGTAATGGGCTGGATGAGGGCAAACAAATTGAAACTTAATCCAGACCAGACAGAGGTTACTTGGAAGGCAGATGAGGGAATAGGGATACTACCTTTGCTGGATGGGATTGCACTCCCCATTAAAAATTCATGTCCACATCTTGGGTGTACCCCTGGATTCATCCCTACACTTGGATGTCCAGGTCTCAGTGGTGGCCAGGAGTGCATTTGCACAGCTAAAGCTGGTGTGCCAGCTGTGCCTGTTCCTTGAGATGTCAGATCTGGCTACAGTGACACATGCCGTAGTTACATCCCGTTTGGATTACTGTAACACCCCCTATGTGGGGCTGTCTTTGAAGATTGTTCAGAAACTTCAGCTGGTGCACAACTCTGCAGCCAGGCTACTGACTGGGGCCAGCTACAGGGAGCATATAACGCACCTGTTACAAGAACTGCACTGGCTACCAGTGTGTTTCTGAGCCCAATTCAAAGTGCGGGTCATTACCTATAAAGCCCTATACGGCTTGGGTCCAGGCTACCTGAAGGACCGTATCTCCCTATATGTGCCTTCTCGGTGATTAACATCAGCAGAGGAGGCCCTCCTCTGGGTCCCATTGCCAGAACAAGCACAGCTGGTGGGGACACGGGAGAGGGCCTTCTCTGTGGCAGCTCTCAGGCTATGGAATGCTCTCCCTCAGGAGATCAGGCTAGCCCCCTTCCATTTATCCTTCTGCCAACAGGTGAAGACATCTCTTCAAGTCATGAATGTCTTCTTAGAGTCAGTTTGTTTTTAATGTTCACTTGCTTTTAATTATTCAATTGTACTTTCATTAACATGTAGTTAATTTTTTAAAATATTTAGCATGTTTTTAACTCTACAGTGGTGCCTCAATTTACAACCATAATCCATTCCAGAAGATGGAAGTAACTCGAAATGGTCATAAGTCAAAGCACCATTTCCCATAGGAATGCATTGAAATGCAATTAATCCATTCTGGCCTAAGAAAAAATCACACACACCCAAAAAATCACTACAAGAATAATTAGAAATGTGATTAATCCAAAATCTACTGGCCTATTCCACTGTAACTGAAGCGACTTGAGAAGCATTAATCTGACTTGAACTGGTCACAGTTTCGTATTGCACAGAAGAAATATCTGTGCAATACGAAACTTGTATATTGTCTAAGATGGACCTGAAATTCTCTCAATTGTCAGGTTATCCAGTTTTAAATTTATCTCCTCATGTTTTAGAGTTACTACTGGATATTTTTGTTACATAGGTTGATCCAAACAGTATTGCTGCCCGAGATGGACGAATCCGGGAAGGGGATAGGATTTTACAGGTAAGTCATTATAATGTTTCTCACTATGATTCTCCAGTTCTTCAAAAAGGTAGTCTGTGGTTTTCATTGATGCAACAGTGATGCAAGATTATGATGCTGATACCATAGTAGTATCTATAGCCTGCTGAGACACTGCATTGTGTATAGAGCCAGCAAGATCAGCTGTAGCTATCATCTTCTAGAAGTGACAGCAATGGGACACGGTGGTTACAGTGTATGATGTATGGTCCTGAAGTGACCTGCTCTGTTTCCACCCTGGGGCACTTGACTCCTCATTAGGTAGTCAGGAGAGCCCCCTTCCCCAGTTCTCCAGGTATCACCATATTGATGCATTAGTAAGGATACCTACTCAGCATAGCTCAGAGGTTGGCTCCTGTAGGCTCTGCTGAGGAAGTGTCATGTCCAGGGTCAGCATCAATCAAGAGGTCTCGGGTTAATTGACTAACCCTCAGCATAAAGTAAAGGGAAGCTGCAACATTAAGATAGGGTTCTGGTAGCTGAATGAAACCTGACAAATGCCCAAGGAGGGATTATTCTCAAAGAGAAATAAACATTTCAGAGGAGGGAGGAGAAGATATGGGAAGCTTATCTGACCAGGACTTCTGATATAAAAGTATTTTTGTCAAGTGAAAATAGATTAGTTACTTAGTTGAAATTAAACATTAAAAATTGGGAAACTGAGCCATTGCTATTAGGAATAAAAATGGAAGCTGTTGAACTTGCTAAATTAACATTATTGATACATAAATTAAAATGTTCATCTGGTATGCTGTCAGCAGAGGGCATATGTCACACCACAGACTCTCTTCTCAAAGGAGAAGGGCCTGTATATCCTTTTTAAAAGTACTGTAGGTTTATATTAGATTAGCCTACTTTGGTCCTATGAATGTATTTGGGTTGTCAGAAGTCTTCCTTAACACAGCCAAGAATCTAGGGTATTTCTGAGGTAACCAATGCTTGGAAGACCACCTGACCAGTTATACTTCTGAAGCAAACATCTATAAACTTTTACTGAAATTCTAGACCCAGTTAGAATTTGGCTCAGAGCTTGCCTATCTTATCTGAGGCAACTACTGAGGGGAGAGTAATTGATTCCTCTTGCACCCAAGTTAGTTGCGCACAACTAACTAATGGCTTCAGTCTCTTATAGGTGATGTTTGGAAATAATTTTATTTGGAGCAAAATAATTTTATTTGGACCAGCCTTAGTGCAGGATGAAGCAGGATCATTTGCATGCTCTTTCTTCTAAAGTTCATTGGAAAGTAAAGCCCAGTTTACTGCTGAAGGCCTAGTTGAATTGCCAATCCCAAACTGGCTCTTTATAAATTAATGGTTGCCAACCTTTGGATTCGTAATAATTTTGGACTAGAACTCCCAGGAGTCCTCAAGAATGCCATAGATTTGGCTGAGTTAACTGAGACATCTGGCTGTTACAGTCCAAATACTTTTATAGGCCCAGATTAGGCTACCTAGTACAAATCTATTTTTGAATGAGAGGTATAGGCCTGTTTCCCTGTGAGGAAATAAAATGTAGATTGACACATGCCTTCTGCAGACGGGATGTCAAAGCTATTTTTTAATTAGATAAACTTCCACTGATACTCAAATGTTATTTTTAAGCCTTTTTTCTAGAGTTGGCCCGAGAAAGCAACAAATTTAATGCATCAGTTCTAATGTTTTACTTTCCAGTTCAGGAAGAGGGACAAGTAATCCATTAATTCAGCTTGGAACTAATGTTTATGGAAACATCTGTTGTCAAAAATATGACTTTTGAGACCCCTGTCTTGTCATCTACCACTTTATTTACCTTGAAATATATTGCTCTATATGCAGATGCATTTGAGCTAGTAAACACAGACAAACCAATTCTTATGTGTACTGTGCCGTTTTCATTTACTTTTTCAGCAATACGTGTTGGTAATAGTAAACTTTGTCAGTGTGAATAACCCCATCACTGCCAGCTATTAATTCAACTTTTGTGAGAGCCTGCTGAATGTTACAAGATCAATCTGATTCCAGCCCACCAGTCTTTTCATATCCTCAGGAAACATCTTTGCTGGAAAACAGAGCTTTATTTCATACTTTACTATCTGCTCTGAGAATCAAACAAATCTCCGAAACACAATAGGAGATACAAGTGCCCAACTAAAATGGCCCGTTCTTTGGAGAAATAGAACAACTCATGGTTCAGTATCAGGGCTTGCAGTAGGATATGTCATTTTATGTCTTTCTATACTGGAGAATATGAAGCATTTCTTTTTTCCAGTTCACTAATCATATGGGCAAAAATGTCATGTCACAGTACCTTACTTTGACTGGGTGGTGGAGTGATACAAGTTGCAGGCAAAGATTGAATTCAGGCAAGGGTCTGTGTACTAGACCACCTTTTACAAAAATTGATAAACAGCACCGTTTTTGGTGTGATAGGCATTCTTAAGGCTTTGTGCACTCCATGGTAAAATCAAAAATCTGTGCTAAGGCAACTCAAATGTGAGGACAAATTCAATGCCAACCATAGTAAACTATTTAAATCAAGCTTTTGACTTCTGTTTGGATGTATAGTATAATCTATTTTGCTTCTGGCACTAATTAAAGACATGTGACTCTTTCCTGGTTGATAGTGTTACCAGAGGCAATAGCTTGTGGGATCTGTAGCTCTTGAAATTTCTGTAGCCTCCATATTCTACCCTTTTTTCGAACAGGCGCCAGGGTAGAGCAGAAAGAAAGAGAAACTGTTTTATATTTGTCCTCCTGAAGCTTCTGGATGTTTTTTGGTCAAGTAAGAAGTTCTGTCCTTGTGATAGTTTTCCAAGTTCCCAAAATCTATTACTTTATTCAAGCACCCATGGCTAAAAATCACCTTCCAGCTTGAGTTTTTGCTAGGTATGCCCATGAATGTGTTTTTAGAGCCATGGGATGAGAAACTTGTAATTTTTTTAAAGGGAAATTGAGAGCCTTAGGATGCTGGGTTCTGCTGCTTACACCAGATACATTGTTTTCTGAGTGATTCTAAAACCCACATCGTCCTAAGTATTGTAATATGATTTGTATGGGATTAGGTTATTTTTGTAAAATGCCTCTAAATTGATTACAAACTAGCTTTAAAACATCTAATACTAGTGCTTTGCCAACATAATCTCTGATGTGACTTGAGAAGTATGAGCCAAGATATGAGAACATATAATAGAAAAGTTGAAGGGTTTGGGAAATAGCATTGCATGTGTGGCAGTGTGATGTATGAGTTAGAATCTGACCATTAAGTTTAATGCAGAATGAGTTATATTAGGATGGGAGGTAGTTTTTATATTGGACAGTATGCTGACTCAATACCCACTCATGTGGATAACTCAGAGAAATAGGAGCTGTCAGTTTTATTATACAGGCATTATATTGAAAGAATTCTGGAAAAGTAGGATTCTCTATGTCAAGCAAACCTATGTATTCAAAATGCAGAAATGCTCCTTTAAAATATATTCATACCTTTGCACATGAGCTGTCTTTAGTACTTACCATGTAGGCATTCCAGTATGGCAAAATATACAGTTGTTACATTTTGTAACATACTGACTTTCAGGCGTAATTCATGTGCCATTATAGTTCGATGTGATTTTGAAATGTTCCCCATCTGAATTTCTCTTTGGATTTTCATGTTCTAAATGTAAGAGAAGAAACCCTGGTGAATTTTGATTTTACTTAATCACAGTTTAGCATGAGGCCCAATACAGCGTTATTACTTTTTCTATGATTTATACTCATGCTCTTGAAGATGTGAATGAAGCGAAGTAAAATATTTTTGCTATAATTATTCATATAGCCCATCACTGCAGGTTTAGTATAATGATCTAACCCAGTGGTTCCCAACCTCAAGTCCTCAGATGTTCTTGGACTACATCTCTCAGAAATCCTGGCCAGCACAGCTAGTGGTGAAGGCTTCTGGGGGTTTCTAGTCCAAGTATATCTGTGGACCCAAGGTTAGGAACCACTGATTAAATTAATACTAGCCCTATAGGCTGCATTTTCAGGCATCTTTTATGTAGGGATCAGCAGCTTTTGTTTTTCATGTGTCTACCTATAAGTATGAAACTGGGAAAAGAAGATGGAAAAGACTACATATAGATAAGTTTGGGTGTTGCAATCTTTTGCAAATGAGGAGCGTTCTGCATTTCAAAATTGCTATTGTTCCTAAGTGAAGGTCACTGTTCTTTGTATTCGTTGTCTGGGTCAACTAAAGCTTAGTTAACACTAAGTTTTTTCATCTTAATCACAGAGCTACATCTGGATGCTGGAGGGAAACATGTCTTTTTCTCTCTCTTTGCAATAGGTGTCATTTTTAACCTCAGTGACATACATTTGCAGCACAGTTTTAGGCACATCGAGTTAAAAGTAATTCCCCTAAAGTCAGTGGGATTTGCTCCCAGGTAACTGAGTCTGCAAAGTTGGTATGAGTGTGTGTGTGCATGTGTGCAGATATAAAATATTGAATGATTAAATGAAACAGCAATCAGCAGTGGCCTGTAAGTATTGCCTGGTGAGAGATAATACTACAGACCTCTAATTGGCTGCTTCTAAGCTTCCAGTATGACTGATTTCAGCTGTAGTATTACCAGTCTTGCTTCCACCAGCACTATTATCTCAGACTGACACTTCCATTACTCTGAACGGAGAAAGATGAACGTCACCTGTCAAGGGCTGGTTAATTGTGTTGCTAGATGTATGTTGCCAGGGCACAGGTTGGACATTTATGAACATAACTGCTTCCTCTGATGTCCGCCATCCTTCAACGATCGATACAGCTCTTACTGTAAGCGCATAATTGAGTGAAGGCACTTACCACTGAGGAGGCTGAAGATGAGCCCATTGTGTGAGTTTCATTGTCCATACATTAACCACAAATGAGCTGATATTTGCTCTATATTGTGTGTTGCGTTGTGGAAATGGAAACTAATGTGCCACTTTCATTTGTTTTCTAGATAAATGGCCAAGATGTCCAGAACCGGGAGGAGGCTGTGGCACTGCTCTCCAGTGATGAATGCAAGAAAATAGTATTGCTTGTGGCGAGACCAGAGATGCAGGTTAGAGTAAATAGATGAAATGAGAGGCAGGATGATTTGGAGTGAACACATATTCACTGTCATCCATGGATAATGAACAGCTGAAAAAAATGACAGTGCAGAGGTACACGTCAAAGTGAAGAAAATTAGAATAAATAGTCTTTACTGTTTTGTGGCTCCAGATGTAAACAAAGCAAATGGACCTCAATTAGCATTATACTCCCAGAACAAATCTTTAAAATCATATCCACATGTATATGCATGATTGTCTAGTACTACTGGTAATACTGATTTACAGAAATATATAAGGACATTCTTACTGATTTCTTGAGAATATCATCACTGATGTAAGATTGTATTGCTTCAGTCAGAAATGCTAGATGTGAATTGTTTAGGGATTGTGGCTTCCCATGCACATTATTTTCCTAATATTTATAGGTACGAACATGGAAAATCAAGACTTATGACAGTGAGACAATATCCTATTCTCATGTTTGGCATGAAACATATATTTGAAGATATATTCCAAAAATAATGGTCCTTTTGTTTATCCAACAAGTATTATTTTGTTACTCTGAACAATTTCTGCATTTTTTTAGTTAGAGATATTTACATAAGCAGATTACTACAGAGGGTGAGAGAAACGTGGTAGAAAAATATCAGTTGCACTTCACTTTCTACTCCTTTTATATTCTACTGCAAAGCAAAAAAAAGAACATTCTGTTGATGATATTGTATCCATCTGTCATTGGTTCAGGCAAAGTTGGTTATATTGCCATTTGTCTCTTATGTTATTGATTTGATATTCTTCAGAGATGGTAAATGCACAATCTCTATAAATTGTATTGACTAAATGTAATTCAATGTCATCTGGAATCCTTCCTTGACTATAGTAGTTACGCAGGACCACAGTATGAAGCATATATTTCCTTTATAGTCTTGCACATTCTAAATAGCCCTGATAAAAAGAAGCTGTATAGTAAGGCAGAGGAAAACAATATGGCTCAAGTTTATATAGCCTGAATGTGGTTCTTCTAGGATGAGGTAACTTTCCAGAATTATTCATGGTTTGCTGAGACATTCCACTTATAGGCTGTTAAAAGGGTTTTGTATCAGTGATGCATCTGTCTTTCTAGATATGAATACCTGGGGTCTGTCAGGAATGTGTTCTTGTCTCTCTTGTGTGGAAAAAGTGAAGAGAAAGAAAGAAAGAAAGAAAGAACGAAAGAAAGAAAGAAGGAAAGAAAGAAAGAAAGAAAGAAAGAAAGAAAGAAAGAAAGAAAGAAAGAGATTCAGTACTAATTGGCAGTGCATCTCTGGACTGTCTTCATTCCAGTCTTCTCTGCTAGGCATTTTTTAAAGTAATGGATCTTCTCGACAGAGGATTAGTCTACTTTCCAACCCATTAAAATTAATTTGAATTAGATAAGTGATGGTTAATTTTTCCCATTGTTTTCTGTGAAACTGCAGTGCAACCAGCTTAGTCTAGATCCAGTTTTAAATGTTTTGTGAGCTCATTAGGTAAGAATTGGCGGGTTATATTCTAACCTTTTCTCCCATAATTGTTCTGAGGAGGAAATGGTGGCGGCGGTTATATATTCACTACCTCTGAGTGGGCATTATAGTTTATGACCAAAATCCAGTTGTAAGTCTCAACCAGAGGTAGACCCATTGAGTCAATGGCAATTTGGCAAAACAATACTTAATGTAATCCCCATTGATTTAGCCGGTCATCTCTGGTTGGGACTCATGGTCAGATTTCACCCTCTGTCACCTGGGAATAAAAGGAGTACTCAGCAAAAAATGGTGGGAGAATTACTTTATAAAAGAATTACTTGCTAATGTGGAGGTTGACAGATTACTATAGCTGTTTTGACTCCATTGTTACTCTGCCACTTAACAGTTATCCATCCAGTTCATTTAGAGGAGCAGCAATTATTCACAGGCAGAAAAAACATGGGATTAAAAAATATCCTATAAATAAATAATAACTATAATGGAGCTCATCTGCCATCTTCCCAAAAAGGATAATCTGAAAGTTCTTCTGTAAGCCTTTCCATCATGTCTGTTTTAACTATGAAGTAAGTGTAGGTGAGGTTAGTGGGATTGGTCTTAGGTAAATGTGTAGGAACTGTAGCCTAAATGAAGCTTGTGAATATTCCCATGTTTAAAAATCAAATATTGACAGATTTAAATTGACATCAGAGCATTTTTAAAAATATTGTTGCTTTTTACTGTTATATTTGCCTGTATGCTGAGATTGGTGCACAGTTACCTGAACTAGTGACTATAATTTTTTACTTGATCAGGAACTATGGATAAAATAGATATACCCACAGTAAAAGCATCGTTGCCTAATAGTGGGATTTCATGTTTTATTTATTTTATATAGAGCTACTGAATAATATATATTACACATACACAGAAATGTGTGCGATTCTATGCATGTGCACACATTGTAAATATATATATAAAGTGATAGATATAGAAAGTTGGACAGAGAAGTGCAAAACTGCACTGTTCTGATTATATTCTTTTAAAAGACCAGTTAAAATAATAGTTCAGAAAAAAAGAATGAAGACTGCATCCTTGATTTTCATGTATTTTAGATTTCCTTTCCATAAAAGCAGAAGAAAAGTTAAGACACATAATTGGCTAAATCCAGCCGCTACCCCCAACTAGAATAGACCATCTGATGCAGGGATGTTACCCTAAGGCTTGAGTTACCAAAGTCCTATTGATCCAATGGATCTACTTGAGCTGGGACTCACAGTTGGATTTGGCCATAGTTTTGGACGTATCAACATATGTGAGCCATATACAAGGAATGCTGGGAGATGTAGTTTTCCTAGTGCTGCTGACAAACTGGTCAACTCATTTGTAATCCCCAGAAAAATAGATGAGAACTGTTGCAGAATAGGAACTAGCCACATGTTTGGGCCACCCAGTATGTTGCCATAACAGCACAAAGCCTTGTCCCTGTAAAATCAGTGTTTGTAAGATGCCACGTTTCTCTGTTTCTCTCTCTTTTTTTTGGCTATTCCATCTTGGTAATCCTCTCTTTAAATTAATTGTTTTAAATTGAAATATGTAATTTTATGATTTTATATATTTTTATATTGTTTTGTTTTATTTTGTAAGCCGCCCCGAGTAGACATGGTCTAGAGGGGCGGGGTAAAAATCAAATAAATAAATAAAAATAAATAAATAAGAGGTATGATATTAGGCCATAATCATGGGCTAGTGGAAACTAGCAGAGCAGATAGACGCGAGTCAACGTTACGACAGAACATCACAACTCCTTGGCTCCCATCACTACAGGTGCCACTCCAGTGTTTTAGCCAAAATGGTTCTCAGCCTTAGGTAACCCAGGTGTTTTGGACTGCAATTCCGAGAAACCTTCATCACCAGCCATACTGACTGAGGTTTCTGGGAGTTGCAGTCCAAGAAAACCTGGGTTACCCAAGTTTGGGAACCACTGTTCTAAGCTATTGATATGAAGAATGTTGACTTTCTGTGACTTTCCCGATGCTTCTCAACTAGTCAATAGTTTATTTAACTTTGCTATTTGGGGGGGGGGAAGCAAGTTCTTATGCATGTTAACATGCGTAGGGACATGCTTTTAAAATTACTCTGAAATTGCCAGTTAGGACTCATTCTGGTTTAGATGAGTCAGTGCCTGAGATATCTTAAAGTACTAGTCTGATCATTTTTATTTCTTTTTTTAAAAAAGTATCTCCAAGGAACAGATGAAAAACAAAATGTGCCTTCAAGGTACCTTGTCAATCAATGATCCTTTTGCTGTTGTGGTCGCTGCCGTAACTGAACGTTTACCTGAGAAATCAATAAGACAAATGTGATAGAAATACACAATGAGACTCCTGTTGAGGTTCAGGCAGTGAGCTGCAACTCTGTGTTGGCGGCTGTCAAAGGTGGGTGGGGGGAACAATTGTCTTATGGCTGTGTATTAGCATCTCTGACTTTTTTCCCAAACCTGCTGCTCTTCGTAGTAAAGAACATGACAGTTTCACAATTATACAGTATTTCTCCTGTGCCTTTTTGAAAGGAAGTAAAAGTTATCTGTGTGTAATCCCCTTCATTATGGAAGAAAATCTGTGATACTGTTTCAGAAAAGGATAAAAGGCCTAGCAGTCCAGTTTTTGAAATGATCGCTTCCCCCACCCCCATGCTTTTTCTTTCAAGGCAAACTCCAAGACTGCATTATTCCAAAGAGAGTCGTTATTATAAAAAGAACTAGTCAGGCGTTGTCATATGGGTTTCCTTTATTTTAGCATGCATTCCCCTATAACCTACAGTAACGTACTAATGTATTCTTTACAGCTGGAAGAAGGATGGCTGGATGATGAAAGGAGTGAATTCTTAGAGGAGTTAAACTTGGAAATGCTGGAAGAACAACAACATCATGAACTACAGCAGTACCCCAGCATTGAAGTAGAGCAGGTAAGGCCTGACATAGAATGTAGGGACAGAAATGTAGCTCTAAGTGCATGTGCAACTTTTAAAAATCCATGAACAAGGAGTTAAATTATAAATTTAGAAATTAAACCTCTGGGGTTTACCAGAGCACTGCCATGGCAGCAAATGAGGGTATTTGAAGTACAGCAATGTAGTGTCACAAGGAGAAGAATTTTTATGCCATGTTGTGTTCCTTACATTTTAACATCTCACCATGTTAATTTAGTTTATCCCTTCAGAGCAACTCCCTACTATTACATAAATATTGCCTCCTCTTTTTAAAAAGAATATAGATCCAGTATTTGTGTGCATTCTTGCTTCAGCACCTAAGCATATATTTTCCTGGATTTTTTTCTACTCTCTCCGGAAATAGTAGGTCAGAAGCAAGCATGCTTTCGGCACAGGGACACATGTGCAAACCAAGGCCTGAATGTCATGCCTCTGTCATGGGCTGACTGGGTTTTGTCCACTCTGACCCACTTTCATGCCCTTGATGGCTTCATTCGCGTGCAAAGTCCCAGCAAGACAGGGATTGCATGTTTGTGCTGCCTTTTTTGTACATTATTGATTTTATTTGCATGCACTTGGGTGTAGAGGGAGGCAACAATTAATTACCTCCTTCATGAACTGGGAGGTCCACTTAGTAAGCCCCACTGCCTTGGCTTCAATGTCGTTTGCAAGAAGTATTGCCTTGTAGGGTGACGTAAGGCAAGACCAAGGGTGAAAGTAGGGGTTGGAATGGTAATCTTGGCACCATGGGGATACACTTTTTCCATCCCTGATGATATTCTTGGATGATACCTTGTCAAGAAAGGGAAATTTGGGGTTTTTTATTCCACAATCCCACAGTCAGCATGGCCACTATTGGCCATCTCTGAGTTTTGCCATAATCTTTTTTTAATTGCTTTGTGTGATGTTTACCCTCATGGCCTCTGCTTATTATTCCCTCACAAAGGCACACATCAAATTCTCTTCTCACTGCCATCAGTGGATTACTTCAATCCATAATATAAACGATGTATATCAGAACACTTGTCTTGTGAACAGAAACAGAATTTATTTATTGAAGTGAAGCAGAATGAGTAATAACAGACTTTTTCAGATATTCAGTATACATAAGTAATTCATCAACAGTTCCGTCAGCACATAGTTTTTTTTTGCTTGTAATTTCATTACCACCCTCTCTACCTATTTTTCTAACCAGCCCTATCTCTCTGAATAACTAATACTAACTATCTGACTAACCAGCCCTATCTGACTCCTCCTTCTCCTGCCAAGCCTCATGTAGCTGCTGACTCCGCCTCTCCAGCCCTCTCATAGGTTCATGCAAATCAGCTCATGAATATGAATGACATGGGCAGTCGCCACACTTTGAAAGTTGCTTAAGACTCTAAAATGGAATGAAAGTACTTTAGATAAATTAAATGAACAAGTAATAGTGCTAAAGGTATAGCACAGAGAAATCTAAGATTATTAAGCATTTTGAAAGACTCTGCAGAGACAGATAAATGCATTTATGAACTAAGAATACTTCCTTATATTGCTTTTGGAGATGGGCATGGTGCCACACATTCCCTTCTCCTGCACCCCCAGCGATAAATGCATTTATGAACTAAGAATACTTTCTTATATTGCTTTTGGAGATGGGCATGAACCATGGTTCAAAGGTTCGTGCCGGTTTGTATGCAGAGCACCACAGGTGCCACACATTTCCTTCTCCTGCACCCCCAGTCAATGACCCACTGACCAGCTGGCACACACTTCTCTCCTTCTCCTCCTCTTTGGCTGTTCAACTAGTCCCTCGCAGGAGCACCAGTCTGCTTATCCTGCCTCCTTGTCTGAGTGGGTGATTAGCCTAAGAGGTGGGGCAGGGAAGCCCATGCTCCTGCCAGAGTTAGGTTGAACAGCTGAAGAGGAGTGTGTGCTGGCTGGGAGGTGGGGGATCCAGCCAAGGAGAGAGGGGAAGGGCACACATGGTACCTGTTTTGTCATGCATACAAACCAGCACAAACCTCCAAACTGAGGTTTGCGCTCATCTCTAATTGCTTTTATGGTACAATTGCCCTGCCTCAAATGTGTCATTTTGCATGGGGTCCAGATGATATAATCTCTCCAATTATAACCTTCCATATTTTCCCACAACTTTTCTTTATTTTTTCAACCTGGAAAAATCCTGAAGTGAGGAAGAGACAGAACTGTTGCACTGTACCTTTTTTCTGGTGATGGTAAGAAGCAGTTCTGGCTGAACATTTCACACTGAGGATTTTAAAAAGCTGGGTTCTTTGATTTCCTCTCCTCCTCCTCAGGGCCCTTTTTTGTTCTATTAGGATCGTTCCATATTGCCGTAATTTCTTGTGAGCTATGATTTGGCACACTCCCACTAATATTCATAAAATGAGTTAATTAGTGATATGAAATATTGCAATTTGTACTCATAATTAACAGTTAATTTGCATGTTCCCCATGAAATTTGTTTAGTTGGAACATGGGAAGGAAACATTGTAAGAAATGGCTTGTCCTGTCAATGTTACTGTGTTACAAGTGCATAAATACATGCCAATTAGGTTTATTATAAGTATGTCAAAGAGCCAGATCATTACTTTCCATACCACCTTATTATATGTTTTCATCCTCCAGCCCTCTCATAGGTTCATGTGTGTGTGCTGTCAAGTCAATTCTGACTTATGGCAACCCTTTTCAGGATTGTCTAGATAGAGAATACTTAGAAGTAGTTTACTATTCCCTTCTTCCCATAGCCCTGGGACAGTGCAGCTTCCCCAAGGCCACACAGGCTATTTCTTCTCCCTGGAGGCAGAATGAGGAATTGAACTCCCAACCTCTGGCCCCACAATCAGATACCTAACTCTACTATGAATACCCAATCATATCAGAGTGGTATTGGATTTGAATCATTACATATGGTACCTCCAGGAAATACTCAGAAAACCTATAGTTTGCACATCATAAGAATTATTTGTCCTGTGGTGTTGATCATGATAGACCATCAGCTGGAAATAGCCACCGAGAGGAAAATCATACTATGCATAACTATTCAACTGCCCATGTTTGTTTCTACAAGGACATGTTAAGTGTGGGTTAATGGAATATAAAATATACATACTTTAATGTAAAGAATATGGATTGGTGCTGAAGAAGTTGTTGGCCTCCAATTTATAAAGTTCATGCTGTAGCCTGCCCATGTTATGCTAGAACCTGTACAGTGGGTTTCATGATCCTTCCATTACCCCAGCTTTGAATCAAGATGTCTGGAGTGGTGGATCACAATCATCACTTAATTTCAATAGGACTCCCACAAAGCTCCCATGAAATCTGAAAAGCAATATATAAAACAAGAACTTCACTAAGCTTCTGTTGAACAGGTATCACACTTCTGAGGCAAATCCTTTCAAGGACTGAGACCATGACAACAACATGAGTTTAGGCCCTTCACTTTACGTCTGCAAAACTTGCAAACTTTAGAAAACTGCTGACAATTGAACAATGGGTGGGCGGGAGAGACACAGCAGGTGTCAAAACAACTGCACAATGCTGCTAGGATATTGGCACATGCATGGAATTCCCTCAAACCCTCAAGCTGTTAGTGACACGTGGCATTACTACCTCCACACTATGGCTAACAGAGGATCAAGCAGACACTGTTGCCAGTTGCTGATTTCATTTTATATTTAGTTTACACTCCCCCAGTCTTTAATTGCATTGTTTTCTAACTGCTGTGGCTTACTGGCATCAGTTTCTTCCAACAACACTGCACAAAAGACTAGCTAGTGGGCTTGGGCTCTTGAAGGTAATAATGAAGCTTTATATGTATCTCTTTAATTCCACCCCCACCCCACCCCTGTTCACCATTGTCTTTCAAGAATCTAGAGTCTGTACACAAAAAAATAGCAATTGCTAATAGAATAGTCCCAGAGAATTCGCCCCCACTGCATTCCCCCATCACTTATTATTACTGGCCATTATACTTAATTATGCAATTATTTGTATTAAAGGATTTGCTTGGCACATTGTGCATTTACCATAAATAGTTAGCATTAGAGGTGCAATAAATCAGTACAATTAATGGAATACAAGTTAAGAGAAAGAGACAGAAATATTTGACATAATGCCTGAAGCATGCAGAATATTTTGTTCCAACTATCGTGGAGACTAAACTACCTGCTTTCCAAAGGAAAATACAACTAACTGATACAGAAATCCCCTTGCCGGTGTCTTTGAAACAGATTAAGCACTTCCTGCAAAATCATTAGGACAGCAGGAGATTAAAACAAAGGAAAATGTGAGTCCAGTACATTGTATAGACTGGCAGCCATCACCGACAAATATGTTCTGTTCAAATTTGGCAGGTAAACCACCCTAAGCTCTCAGCTTCTGACACTCAAGTTATCAACAGTATGTAGAATTTCTCTCACTCTATGCAGCAAATATTGGACTTGTTTTTCAGCAAAGCTAATCACCGTTGCAGTTCCTGCTGGAACAATGCCAGTGGATGCACACATGTATCTTGTCATAGTACCCGAGGCTCAAATAGTAATTCCATTTGTAGCACAATTCTAAGGAACAATGCGGAGATAATACAACATGCCCAATTTCAGTTATGAATGTTGCTGTTTCAGAGATAAAACAAGTATCTGAGACTAATTTTGTTAACTGAGGTCTCAGAACACATCAGTAAGGTGGGATTTGAATCCAGTTTTAGTAATTATGTACCGTCAAATTGATTCAGATTTGATAGCTCCACTTCCAGTGTTTTCTACGTGTAAAGCACTCAGATGTGGCATATTAGTTCTTTCTTTCGGTGATTGTCTGTGACCATGCAGCTTGTCCAGTGCGACATAGGTAGCAGAGCATGTAACTCCATCAGCCACACATGCTCCAGCTGACCTCATCTGGCCCCTTTGCCAAGAGGCACAACAGAAATTTGACCTCTGCATCCAAACCTTCAAACTCACTAAGCTGTACCAACCACTGAATCCAATTTACTCTAATACAAATTCAAAGTGCTTTACTTGATGTATAATGCCATATTGATTTCCAGAAACATACAGGGGCTTCTGGAAGCCTTTTAAAGAAAGAGAAATGAAATGTAACATCATATGACCTATAACCTATGCTAATTGTAGACCCTTTGATTTTACAGCCAAAGAAACATGAAGAAGAAGATGGCACCACAGATACTGCTACCTCATCATCTAATAACAATGAGAAGGATAGTGGAGTGGGCCCTACAGATGAGAGCCAACGTAATGACGAGAGCTCAGAGCAAGAAAATCCACCCGAGGACCAGAATAATTCAACCCTGCAGAGCCAACAAGAACTTGAACAGAGCCAGGACTCTTTGGGAAGCATCAAACCACAATGCAACAAAACCCTAGTATCTGGGGAATACATTGAATCTGATTTTATTGATAATCAGGAAGAGGACTGTGAAAGGTTTCGTCAGCTGTTGGAGCTCAAATGTAAGATCCGAAATCATGGAGAGTATGACTTGTATTACTCAAGTAGCAGGATAGAGTGCAACAGAAGGCAAAAAGATGGAGTTGAGCATGAGCTTCAGCTGCTCAATGAGGAACTGAGGAACATTGAGCTTGAGTGTCAGAGCATTATGCGAGCTCACCGTCTTCAGAAAGTAAAAGATGAGTATGGTGACATTTGGGCACTGCATGGTAACACATTCAGGAATTATAACACTACTATAGACCTTCAAGGGGGAAAACTTGATGACATTTTAGAGCATCCAGAGAAATCAGACAAAGATACTTCCAGTGCTTACAATACAGCAGAGAGCTGCAGAAGCACTCCACTGAATGTAGAGCGATCTCCTGATAGCTCCCTTCAGCGCATGATTAGTATCACCAACAGGAAAAACCTCAGGAGTACCATTGTGGCTAATCAGTTGTCTTCAAGACAAATGAGCAGGGAGACAGCCCCAAACCAAACCAAAACTATCGAACAAAATAGCTCTGTTGAGGAAAAGGAGACTGTTTCAGAGAGCAGCAAGTCAACAGAGCAAGACAAGCAAAGCCCTGAGCATATTCCTTACTTATCCCCGTATCATAGCTCCTCATATAGATATGGAAATATACCTGCACATGCTAAGCATTATCAAAGCTATATGCAATTGATACAACAGAAATCTGCTGTGGAGTACGCCCAAAGTCAGCTTAGCCTGGTGAACATGTGCAAAGATTCACAGAGGTGTCCAGAGCCGAAGATGGAGTGGAAAGTAAAAATAAGGAGTGATGGGACAAGGTATATTACGAAAAGACCTGTCAGAGACAGACTCTTGAAGGAACGTGCCTTAAAGATTAAAGAGGAGCGCAGCGGGACGACGACGGATGATGACACAATGAGTGAAATGAAGATGGGTCGTTACTGGAGCAAAGAGGAACGGAAGCAGCATCTGGTGCGAGCCAAGGAGCAGAGAAGGCGCCGGGAATTCATGATGCGTAGCCGGTTAGAATGTCTTAAAGAGAGCCCGCAAAGTGGCAATGAAGGGAAAAAAGAAATTAACATCATTGAACTAAGTCACAAAAAGATGATGAAGAAGAGGAACAAGAAGATCTTGGACAACTGGATGACCATCCAGGAACTTATGACACATGGTGCTAAATCTCCAGATGACACAAGAGTGCACAATGCTTTTTTATCAGTTACTACCGTATGAATACATCTGTTCTGGAAAAAAATGTCTACTACCAGTTTTGGTAGTGTACAATTGCCTCGTTCAAAGTGGCATTTTCAAATATATTTTGTGACAGTTTATAGTTTGATCTTTTTTGTAAGGAAATTACTTGGTAATTTTACATTTGCTTTTCATACAATAGTATTTTCTTTAACTGGTAATTTTGCAGTCTTTCTTTACTCTGTGGTATATTCCTAATGTTCATTTCTATTTTAAAAAAAATAACTTTTAAAAGGGGGGGACCAATTACTTTCGTACTGAATTTTGGAGATTAATACTTGGGTCTTTTTTTCTAGTTTCCTTTTTTAATACTTTACTACAACTGCAATGCCAAAACAAAATGCTTTATACCTTATTCTTGCTTATTGGCAGCTTAAATTTTTTAATGTTGTTCATTCCATCTGTTCATAAACCACATGCCACATCTCTTCATGATGCTTCAGAAAGACATTCTGTCCAACAGCACATTGTACAGTATATTCACTTTTTAAATTGGAATTGTCTTTGTCCAAGTACAGTGTTGGTGAGGAATTCTCCCGTGATATGTAATGGCATTGGTTGTGTAGGTAGATAATGTGGTAATTGTGAAGATCAAAAGAGAAATAAATTATTTCTTATCTGTAAGAAAAAATAATGAAGAGGTGCTTTGATTTTAATTTGAGTTGCTCTTGCATACATAATATTTGGAAAGCTATGCTAAACATGTTAAAGATGTGGATTTATATATACATAATGGACATGCACGTGAATCCTTATTTACTCAATTCTCTAGGTTTTTGGCAGATTTCCCATAATGTTGCTGTGTTGGACCTACATCAAGTTATGGCACGGGACACAGGACACATCCATTAGTTAGTTCAAAGTTTGTTGTTAAAAGTGCAATCATATTTATGTTTACTAAGAAGTGAATCTCACAGAGATTAAGGCAGCTTGCTCTCAGGAAAACAGTTGTAGGATTACAGCCATTGGCCAGGATCCACTGGACTTAGTTTTTTGATTGATAGATCTGCTGCTGTTACAAGTACCTGGAAGGGGCAGTCTCTCTTTCTGCTTCATGCCTTCCCCATACACCCTTGTGGCAATGAGCCAAGGGCTTATTTCCATAAAAGGCCTGGGATTTTTTTAAAAAAATAAACAATAAATATGCACATGCTACAATAAAGAGCAACAAATTTCTCCTCTTTCATTGTTTACTCAAATCTGCCCATCATCTCTTCTTATAATTCCTCCATTAATATCCCTGTGTGTGCCCAGAGGTTGTTTCTCAACAGATGGGACATTGATTCTGTACCTAGGAACTATGCACTCTTTGCCTTCCACTTCTGCCTGCCCTCCACAGATTCTCTATCTTTATATGACTCTGACAATGGATAGACTCTCCTCCTCAAGCTGTCTTCTTTCATTTACTCCACTTTCCCATTCTTTTTTCAACCAGCCTTTTTTTTTAACTGCCCATCTCTCGCAGAAACCATTTAAAAAAGCATGTATCATTATCAGAATGACAACAGAATGGCTCAGAATTCTTTTTTTCAGACCACTGCTACCAATGTCATCTTTAAACATATAATCTGCCCCACAGAAGTATGGTAACTAATATAGAACTCCTATATATGAGTTCTCTGGATCTCAAAAAGAGACTGTAATATATTATCTGTATTGTAGGTTTGTGAGTGCTTGTGTGTTTTCTCACTGCCACTGCACTTGATACATCAGTAGAACTCTTAATAGCCTTTAGCGATGCAGATTCTGAGGTAAATCCAACATTTTTCCTACCTATTTATTTATTTTTATTTCCATTGTTTAAAGTTTTATTTTACGTTTTTCTATATTTCCCAACTGATAATGCTTCTATGGTGATTTAAAATATAAAAGTAAAGATGGTTGATAAAATTGCAAATATTACAATAAAAACAAGTAAAACAGCCAGAATTGAGCCAATGATGTCAAAATATTAAAATCTTAAGGTAATAAAATGTCATTGAGCCAGCAATAAGCACCATCAAGGACTGAATGTATACCAGAATGTCTTAGGCTAGCACTTAAGTGCTACTAATTAGAATGCCAGGGGGATTTCTCTTAAAAAGCCAGTTTCCAGACCATCTTCAGAGGTAGCCACACAACATATTGCAGCAATCCAGGGGGAAAATTGCCAGTGCATACAGCAAGGTTATTTTTGTCCTCACTGGTGTAGAATGCCCTTTGTCAGCTTCATCTGAAGTTACTGTATTAGCCAACTTTTTGCCTCTGAGGCCAAAACTGGATCTATGAGTGCCACCAAACTGTGAATCTGATCCTTTAAGAGAAGTGCAACCCTATTTAGGACAGGATGGACACCATTTAGTTGCCCAGCACCTGCTAATATCATCTATGTCTTATCTGGATAAAGTCTCAGTATATTGACTCTCATCTAACATGGTGATAAGTTAAACATAGAGTTTGCCTATATGGGCTCTTAGAGCAGGCTAGTGTGGGCTAAATGGATTGTCTCTTGGGGTTGACTGATATCCAAATGGCATACTGGATCTCAAGCCACCTCATTTGGTTCATCTCCTTTGACTGTAATTAGACATATTGTAGATTAAGAGAGCCACTTCAGGATAAAGGAGAGGTAGAGGAAGTTTTTGGGGAAAAAAGACTATTTGGGCATTGCAGATGCACTGCTTCACTTATAATTTTAAAAAATATATACATAGAATACCTCCTCCTAGAGACAGAAGGAAACAGGACAACAATGAGCTTTTTCTTTCTTTCTTTCTTTTCTTTGATGGTCTTAAAGGTCTGGTTGAAAACCTGCCTGCAGCCAAATCCAGTGCCAACCAGTACTTGGTGGTGGATATGGCTGTGTGTGGGTTCTCAACTAGACATTTAAGAGGAGTCAAAGAAAAAGGAAAATGACTCTCATTGCTCCCTCCTGTCTTATCCCACCAAGAAGAAGTCTCTCTCTCTCTCTCTCTCTCTCTCTCTCTCTCTCTGTAATAAGCAATGCAGTGCATTTGCAGTGCCCAATAGATTCTCTTTTTAAAAATTACTTTCTCTGCCCCTGAAGAGGAGGAAGCAAAACATTTCAACCTAATAAGAAATAACTCCAGTTGCAATGACTCAACTTCCAGACAACAACAATAGTTTTACATTTTGTTCTCCTCGTTGAAAGCAAGGGGAACAGAATATAGTCAAGGGTGACTATATACCAACAATGCAAATAAGTGAAGAAGCACTGAAAAACTATCACCAGTTCTCAATTCAGACCATCTTTATGGAAGGATACTATGCTGAACTGCATTGAAAGCCAATTATAGGTCCAGTATATCCTACAGGGATGGGCTTTCCCTATCTTTCTCCCTGTGAATGTCAGCTGGCAGACTGCCAATGACAAGTTCTCTACCAAAAGTAGGCCTAAATCCTTGTTGAAGTGGACCAATATAATCAATATCACATATGTTTGAAGTTAGTCAGTGACTACATGACACAAAAAATTGGAGGTTGGCCAGGGTCTACCTAAAGTTCCACCTTGAATAGACCTGTTGAAATCAATGAAATTTAAATTGATTGTTGCTTACAGCCCCATATACTTCAAAGGATAAATTCTAGGTAGGGCTAACATTGAATCTAGCCTTCCATTAGATTAGAAGCACCATCAACACAAATTCCGATGTTGATCTCAAACTCTGTATATACTGTACACTGAGAGAAAAGGTCCTATTTGAACAATAGCTTTGGCACAGTGTGTGCAAGATTAATTGTCATAGGGTCATAAAACTGTTCTGTTGGAATGGAATCCAAGAGTCATCAAATCCAGTCTCCCGCCAATTGAAGAGATCATTCTTGTCAAAAAGTCCTCAAATCCAGTCTCCTGCCAAATGAAGAGACCATTCTTGTCAAACTAAATCATCATTAGAAATGGTGTTTCCTTAAGTGGTAAAAATTGTCTGTTCATCAGAATATGTGCTTTTCCTTACCTCGGTATCTTACATTTTAGCGGCCTATTGTATTGTGATTAGTCCTAGGAAGATAAATACTGTATGGACTTAATTTGCAAGTCTGATTGTTAAACACTTAGTTCTGAGGCACTTATATTGGTGAAGAAGAAGAAATGGGCTAATTGCAGAAGCAGTACACATTTCCCACAATGTCTAGTTTGAGCTTAAGGCACTTAAGATTTTTACTCTAAACTTCTGATATGTTTTTCCTACCTGCTATGCTTTTTGTTTTTTTCTGGTTTTGTTTGTTTTTAGCATACCGATATAGTGCTTTTGTAAAAAGCCTTGACCAGCCCATGTTAGGGCTTAACGGATAATAAATATTTTTATAAATAAATAAAAGTCCCACTGCACAGATAGTCTATGACACAGAAAGAAAGAAAAATGTCCAAGCTAAAAAAGTATTAGAGGGTGGGAGGTAGGCCAAGAATTGCAGGCAGTTTCTAAAAGCTCTCAGAGCCCCAATTTGATTTCTTAAAATTTGATTTTCTACAAGAAAAGATATCTTAACAAAATCAGCAAATGTAAAATCAAACATTGCAATAGTGCCTGACTGCTAATACAACAGAACTATCTCCTCTCTCCTCCCCTTGCCGTCTTCCATGCTGCCCCTCCCCTAAAAAAGATTGTTCTGGAAGGTTTCCCAGCCTCTGGAGCAGGTTTGGGGGGCACTTGGGGACTGTATGGCAGAAAGGTATACAGTACAGTATTACCTTTTCCCCAGGCCTGCTGACAGAAAGAGGTCATAAACAGAATCACATGACTTGATCTTACCAGCAAACTTAGAATTGGGTTGTTCTGAATCTTTGAGCATCATCCCCACACCAAAAACGTCTTCATTTCATACACAAGTTAAAATCTAGTGTTAGATTTGTTCACATGTCATACTATAATGTACACATATGCATGTTACATATACATTACAGGGCTTCTTGAGATATGTCTTCAGAATTTTTTAGAGTTTACATCTGATAACTTAAAGTGAAAATGGGGTTAAGGGGTGACTGAAAACATAGGAACACAGGAACTGCTTGATTGCAATTCAGTGAGTGCACAGTAGCAAATACTGTCTGGTTTATGACACAACCCCTACACTTTTCCCAGATGAAAACCTTGACTTTATTAATGAAGAAGAATATAGAAGAGGGAAGAGTGTTGAAAACTATTCAAAAATAATGTAATTTTGCTAGCATGATTGGTACATGTAATTTTTCAGCCTGTACTAGTAATGAAGCAAAAGCAATCAGAAAATGCATGAATAACTGTAACAGACTTTATCACACCGGGCAAAACTTCATTTTCTAATGTTAACAAATAACATACAGTCATCAATATGTAATTGAGAAATGTTTTGGAAAAATAACATGATATGCTTTCCAACTGAATAATATTTTTCTTTTTCTCTATCCCTTCATAGAAGAAAATTGGCTTTCAGTTGCAGAAAAAAAATTTTTTTTTCTTGCAAGATCAATGGTAACATGAAATGTGTCATGTTTTTCTTTCTCTTTTAACAGGTTTTCATGCTAAAAGTGCTACATTCAGCGTTAAAAATTGAC